GCAGCTCCGGGAGGTGTTTGAGGACGTGGCAGTGTATTTCACACGGGAGGAGTGGGAGCTGCTGGAAGAGGAGGACAAGGGGCTTTACCAGGACCAGATGCTGAGGAACTACCAAGCCCTCGTTTCCCTGGGTAAAGCTCTGGTTCTTGCCTTGCCCTGGAGCCATGTGAGCTCTGAAGCCGTGTTGTCTTCTTCCTGGTTTTAACAGTGTCATCCTCATGAACGTTTGGCAGGTGGCTTAAATCCCTTTGCTCCCCTCTGCTCTTAGCCTTCTGCTATCTCATACTCGCATATATTCCTCCTCCATTTGATCCAGCCGCCTTCCCTGGAGTCTTCCCCCTTGATAACAGGATTTCCCTTTGCCTTCTCACCATGATCATATCATTTGCCATTCATTGTGCCTCAAAGTGCATTAACAGCTGTTGCTTGTGCAGTTATTCTGATTTCCTCCCTCTCTTGCCTAGTGTGTCCTGTCCAAACTCATTTCCACTCATTTGCCTGGAATTGCACTGGTGTTTGCTTCCTATGACCATATGTCCACTACCTGGATGAAAAGGACCATCCTCTTCCCCCTGCTATGCCTTCCCTTCCATCCTAAATGTCCATCCTCCCTTGTCCTTCAAGTCCTTAGTATAATTGCTGAGTTAATTGGCTGCATTCCCCAAATTTCAGTTGCTTATTCTGCATCCGGTATCAGTGGATAAATTCTCTTTAACCACTGCCCAACCAGGATATCGAGGCCCTGCCCCTGACTTGATCTGCCGCATAGGACAGGTGGAGCTCTGGGTCCGTGATGATGAGGACCGTGGGGAAATGCGGAAGTCAGAGGACGTGCTGCCAGGTGAGTTGTGGCTGTCCCCTCCACCCGACTCCCCTCTCACAAATGCTCCATGCCCAGGGTGAAAGCGAGCCTGGAAACTGCAGACCTGCCCTGTGCTGCCATTTCAGGGTGCTGACCTCAAATAGCTTGTGCTGTCATGTGTGCAGACGGGTGTTGTTCCACCCCCTGAAAGTCAAACTGTGGAAACGGTTACCAACAGGATTGTTTTTGCCAAAGACCCCCAATGTTTGACATGGCCCCTTGCTGGTATAATATCAAGTAAACCTTAATAGTAATTATTGCAAGTTTCATCCCTTGTAATACGACCTGACAAGTGGCTCGATTAGGCATTATAGCAGCGACCTTTGGTGGTGCCGGGCTTGTGTCCTTCGCTGGCTGTGGGAGATGTTTCTTTCTGGTTTTCCTGCTGTTGAAGTAGAAATTGCACGACTGCCCCCGAACTCCCCAGACTAAGAGCATGCACACAACACCCTCTTCCTTTGTTTGTCCGCTGCGTCAATAACTTTCTCATGCCAAATTGTCTAATCCCCAATTTCCTTACCAGCCAAACAGTTTTTATCCAGCGATAATTATGGCTAAGTCTTTTAATCTCTTCCAGTTTTCAAATGATGGCATTCTTTAATATTTAAGATGGCTTTCTGAATCAGACAAAAATCCCATGATCAGGGTTTTTGGGGACCAGACATGTTCCCGGGAATCGTGCCCCTTCTATATAATGGGCAACGCTTTCCTTGTTGTTTCAAAAGGATTGCTTGGTGCCACGGGAGCACTCCCAGTGCCCCTCTGCCCTGCAAGATGCTGGAGAGATGCTAAGGGTCAAAAGGAAATGAACAAAAGGATGAGAATATAAACAAATGGTCAATCTGCCCTTCTCACTCTTTGGCGTGACTGATATTTTTTTTGAGGCCCAGGAGGCCCTGTAGCCACTTTGCAGATATTCCAGAACCCATCCAGAAATTGTGCTTACACTTCATTGTCTAGCATAGTTAACACCACAGCCACTTACAGCAATAACGGTACACAAACACAGCCGCGCAAGCAAGACAATGACTATGCAGCACGCAGTGAAGCTCGACTCTTCTTTGTACCAAGGGAACTTCTTGATGACTCACTGCTGGTCCACAACCTGGAAAACACAAAGACAAAAAAGGGAATGGCTTAACCCCCTTTAAGTTAGTTCATGTCATGAGATCACTTCTGACACTGTGGCTGGCTTGGCCCTGGCCCTGGCCCTGCTGCAGCTCCTTCACAGATTGCCCTCTTTGCAGCTTCAGAGGCTGTTTTTTTAGCAAACTTTTCTACTTCAAGTGACAGCTGCTGCAAGGTGTACCCTGCAACACACTTTCCCTCCTTGGCTTTCACCAGGGGTTTCCTGTTAGGGTAGACTCCCCCTATCCTTTTCAGAGGAAAAAGTAG